TGCTGAAAAAGCTGGAAGAATAACTGGCTTTAGGTTGAATTAGTCCGCAAGTATCAGGGGGGAAAAAAAAAGGTATGTTGGGCTTAAAACGTGTTGTGATTTTAACTTATCTTTAAAAAGACATTTCGAAAAAAAGACAAAAATAGACTTCCAAATTAAATTCTCCATAAATACTAGCATTTGGATATTTCTATTATTTTTTTTGCAATTTAGAACATAATTAGCTTATTTTTATCTGCAATTTTGAGCAATTTCTACTTTTTACTTTTAATATTGCTTCTTTCCCACACTCAAATTTTGTTCACAATTTGACAAACTGTCTGCAGAGATGTCAGTGGAGAAGCTGAAGTGCTGAAGGTAAAGACCAAATTATCACATGCACAAAAAATCTGAAAATTCAGTTTTATCTAACTTCTTAAATTCAAATTTGCTTTTAAAACACAGATGCTACAAGTTCTTCATTAAATAAAGACCTTACCTTCTTCTGCCCCTGCTGGAGATATGCATTACATCTCCTAGAGTAAAACTGGACAAATAGTTTATTCCTATTTTGCTACCACCTTGGAAACAGGTGAAGGAATGCTGCTGTTACATCTTGCTCTCAAATCTCTTAACAGCAACCATGTAGTTGAAAAATTTAGTGTGACCTCTTCTTGGACATCATTGAAAGGGTAAATAGTTTTAAAGTGTCCATGGCTCTGTATTATGCTAACAAAAGTCTTAGATCAGAGTAAAATATTAAGGCAGAGACAGGCCTCATTTTACATTATGTGCACTGATTAGCTAACGGCCTGTATCCAGGTGAATGACCATCTCAGATGGAACAAGCAGCAAAAAGGAAAAAAAAAAAAAAGCTTACATACTTGCTTTGCATATAATTTGGTAGGCAGTCTTACAAATTCTGCATAAATCTGTAAAAACCACAGCACATCTCACGTATTATGGGCAGAACCCAGAGCTAGATCAACTCATATATGCCCCAAAGGATCTGCTAAAAAGAATTAACGTGGCTGGAACATTGCTGAAGACTGCAGTACTTGCAAGCAATACTTGATTAAAAGCTCTATTCAACCATCACTGAAAGCCAGGTCTGCTCTGTGAAACAACACAGGCAGATAATTGCAATGGTTTCCAACAGGCCTTATATCTCAGTTTTCTTCCTGGTCTATTGTCAGTTATGGCACATCAAAGCTTTCCTTTTAAGAGGCATGGGTAAGAAACTAAGTAATTCTTAACTAAGTAGGAACACTACACTGAGTCTGTCTTTCTTCAGTAACATTTAACCTCTTGAAATCAGGTTTTTTTTCTTTCCATTTTTAAAGCAGTCAGAAAAAGAATATATACGAAAGTAAGTAACTTTGTATCAGGAAAAAGAGCGTGCATAAGATTTTTTCATACTCCAGAAAATTAAAAACTTGCTTTCTATAGCAATTCAGTATTATGTAGTTTTCAGTGATACGTCCTGCTAAAGCCACCTATTGATCACTCATTTGAGCTAAAAATTGAGTATCTAGATTTAAGATCCAAATGAAAATGAGAAACATGTTAACAGAACACTTACTAAAAACATTAAACAAGATTTTTTCTTGTTTAATTGCTCTAAATTAACAGCATTCGCGCCATGCTTAAAGTTTCAGATCAGGGACTTGGGCATAGACTGTCAAAAATCTCAGCAATGGAAGCGCTAGCATTTGACACAAGCTACTATTCCAGCACAGTATCTAGTGCTGTTCAGAGAACTCATTATCTTCCCTCTTGGAGAATATATAAATACACGTCCTCCATTTCGTATGACAAAATGCCTTCCCTAGAGTTTTATTCCTAAAAACACACTGATTGCCCAGTTTCACTCATAAAAGTGTTGATCTCCAACACTTAGAGAAGGAATTTGTATTAGATGACCTGCCAAGATCCTTTCCAATCTGGCTGATTCTCTGATATGGCTCTCTTCATACTCAGAGAAACTTTAAAAAGGTAAACCAGGAATTGACTATTTTTATCCAAGTTCTTGCATGTAGTTTAATTCAACATGTTCTTGCACTTAGGAAAGTTGAGGAACTTGAAAAAGCCACTCTGAAGTCTCACAATAAAATATAATACACAAATTTTAACTCCTTTAAGTGTCTCTTTAGTGAATTACTTCAAAATATATACAGTGAATTCTCATTTTATTTCATTGCTTCCATTCTCTACACGAAATTTGCAATTAACAATATTTCAAAATAAAGCCAGTTCCCAAGTTCACTATACTTTCCATTTCAACACTGAGATATTTTAAATACATGAGATTAATAACAGCATAGTAGACTTGCAAATGATTTAGTCAAAACTTACAAACAGCAACACCTTTTCATTATCTTGCCGTGACTACCTTCCATAAGTGGTAACCACTATACAATGATTAATGATTAAAATGCACGTCAATTTACAGTATTCACAAAGACAGACTCCCCACATGGAAGCGTGAAAAAGGCAGCAGCCTCTCCTGTAATTTAAAAGCAACTCTCATATGCTTTAGTTGCTAAAAATCATTCCCCAAAAACTTTCATGGCATTTACTGATGAAATCAAGAAGGACTAAGTTATTTAGAATGATTGGAAGTGATTTTCACACTCAAAGTTTTGATTTACAAGAGGGCAAAAATGGTACACTTCAGTAGTTTGTTTGCATATAAAGATTTAATTTTGCCCCACAAAATATCTAATCCAGTAGAGATGTTAAATGAACATCAGTGCTGAATAGTAAGATAACTGTGTACATACCTCTTTGATCTAACAAAAGAGAAACTCCAGAAAGCCAGTCTTTTTACACTTTTATACACTTTGAACACTGATACTACACACATTTGTAAGACTATTCTACTTTTACATGAAGTAGCAGAGTAAAACTAAACCCTGAAGTTGAGTGGAAAGTTGACTAAAAATGGCACTTACACATGCACAGTTTCTAATTTGTTTTATTCACACACTTCAGTTACTGTAAGCCTTGCAAACTGCAAGACAGTCAAATCTGCATTCTGTGCAACTCCGTCCCAGCCCAAGCTTTTGTTATCTTATCCAAAGCAAGACTCCTCTGTCACCTTCTGCCACATTGCAGCGAAGAAGTCTACATACCTGTAAATTACAACATTTATGTCTAATTAACTTTTACAGTTTCTATTTTGCTCACAGTTTCATTAACAGTGAAGTTGAAAACATTTTTAAAAGACCAGTAAAGCTATCAGTCTTTCACTTGCAAGTTTAAACAACTTGTGAAAATAAATTCCTTTGAACTGGCTAGCAGTCCAAACTAAATATCAGACGTGATGTTTATAAAGCATACATTAAGAATTCATATCCACTCTTAAAGTCAGTTAACTGGTAAGCGGAAAGGTAAAATCCTCACTTCAAGCACATCTGATATCCGATCCCCTTGTGTGTAACTGCACATTATATTTGTGTCTATACCTTTAAACAGTACTTCTTTAATTACACTTAGGAAGCTATATCCCCATTTTTAAAACAAGCTGTTTTACAGTGTAAGAGGAATCCACAGAGTGGATTCTTCAAATTTCATTTTCTAAGCCATTTTGAACAATGATTAGTTTAGTAAGTCGAGCATGTCCACTGTGTGAAATCCACACCTGAACAGACTAAGAAACATTTTGAAGCAGTGTTGAGTAAATAATTTTGGTAAGCTGTAAAACTGCCACATGCAAGGTATACTGTACTATAACAGCTCCAAATCCTTTATAAAAACCTAGCATTCCTTCTTCCCGCTTTATAGTATTTATGCAGTCTTTCATTCCCTCATACTGCGTATTGATTGGAAGCACTTCATAGCCAAGGTCTGTATTGTCAATTATTGTGCGTGTCCCCTGAATATGCAGGCGGTGTAAAACTGTCTCCAGTGGGTAAAGCATGACATCAGCACAGAGGCTAGCAGCAAAACTAGCAATAAGTTCTGGAAAATATGCATCCAGCATGCTCTGCACAGAAGTGGAGCTCTCGGGTGGAAGGTTGTGGGAATTATCCCGTTTCAGAACAAACAAAACAAGCTTCTGGATGATGGAACTGATGATGTAGTGAAGAACGCCATGTAGAGCAGTTGGAAAAGTCAACACCATCAGAGGAAGGAGACGCTTGCTATGGGGTACTCCCATGCCTACCACTCTGCCGATTCCTTCTTTCACACAGTCCAGGATGCCAGGATTATCTCGAATTATTTCACTCTACAAGCACAAAGGAATAGTTACAATTTGCACTGCACATTTCATAACCATGCTGATATCCACTTTGATTCTTTATCACTGCTGAACTTTGTAAGAGAGTTAAACAATTGCATGCTATCATACCTACACAGCTATATTGATATAAATTCTTTGCTCTAACACGCTGGATAGCATCCAAGTAAACTTGCTTTTAAAATATGAATCCAACTTAAAGAGTCTTTACATAATATACGTTCCAATTCTTTCTGCTGCAACCAACGAAATTCAACCTTTAGTCTACTGCTGTATCATTCTGCAAAACAGTCATGTAGTGGAAATGCCTACTTCTAGAGCAAAATGCTGGGAAGTATTTATCTAATTTAGAAGTCCTTTTCTTTAAGGGTTGTAACTCAAGTCTTTGAACTTGAATGTGCATAATAAAGATTTCCATACCTAAATTTAAGTTGAAAGATCATTTTTAATATGAATAGGTTCAACTCCGAACTTTAGCACTCTTTACCCACTCTGCCTCTTAGGAAAGAGTCAATTAATTTGTTCACGTAGTGAAAATAAAGAATTTGCTTAGTAATTACTTCCTCCATTATACTTCACCTAGGACTGTAGGATGAAACTAAATGCACTGTTTCCCCTTCCAAAGCTTACTCAGTGTTTTATCATCTCTGTTACACCCAAAATCCAAGATTTTGTAGTTCTCTTCAATGCTCAAGACTCTGAGTCTGTGCTGGCTGTGTCCTGACCTCATGCCAGGACAAACCACCAGAACATTCCTCAGTGCTCTGGGGAAGAGCTAACAGTCTGCAAGGTCTTCATGGTCAGTATGCACAGAAGAGAAACTAGCTCAAATACCTGAGCATGTAGCATTGTTCCAGACTTTAGAAGTTAAGCACCACAACGCCGATTGAATCGTCTCCTCTGTATCATTACAGTCATTGCACTTCAGAACTGTGCTTGCTTTTGTCAAACACGCCACCAGGTGGTTTGAAATGTTAAAGACAAACAGTAATGTGACAGCTACAAATTTCTCCCAGTTACAGTTATCTTGATGAAGTATAATTACTTGCAGAAGTGTGTCATTCTGTGTTAACAGTATGGTTTATCAGAATTATTACAATCAAAGTTAATATAAAACTATTAGTAACAAACCACATAACCTTTAACTTTATAGTTCGGTAGTGGTCATCCTCTTGCAGCACTGGAATATAACGTAAAGCTAATAAGCCAAGTTGCCTCCGTGCACTGACAAATACAGTATAAACAAAATCTCCACAAATGCTGTCGCTATCTCTGTTGTGTATACAGGTATACTCCAGTTCCTGGAGCTTTCTTCATTTCATATAGCATATAGACCGTTCACTAAAATACTTGCACAAAGCTCAATCTACCAAGTTCAAAGCCCTTAAATCTCAGCAGAACTGTTTTCATAAGCAGTGCTTTAGAGATGACCACTTTTCTAAAAGCCTGGAGTAGATGCTGTTTTGGCTATCTGATTGATCTCCTATTAAGCTGCTTTTTAGCAAAGAAAACTTTACTATTTACTTTGCAAACAGAAAATAGGCTCTAAATCATATTCTCTTTCATCATTTACTGCTAAGTATGTTCCCATGTCCAAAACCACATGCAACACCCTTTCAGATAAAAATACAAGCAGTAAGATATCCGAATAGAACATTCCATTCTGTGTCCCACTATGAAGTCAAAAAACATGAATAGTGTTCTATCACCATTTCTAGGTTCAGGATAAAGGGATGCTCAAGGTAAAGCCATTCCTTGGGACATAAAAGAGTTTCCTAAGTCAGCTTCCCACTATTAGACTGACTAAATCTTCCCAAGGCTGCCAGAAACTCAAAGAGATCTACTCAGGCTGGATTTACGGAACACTGTTTTCAAAATAATTCAGATGGAGAGAGGAAGAGAATTTCTTAAATACAGAGTAACTTTAGAGGATGTGCGTTTGTTGTCAGAAGTCTATCTGCACGCCTCCATGCACAGACATTTTATCTCACCTGTCCTGTTGGTCCATAACGTGGTCAGTTCCTTTACTTTTGGATCCTCTACACAGAAGAGAATTCTGCCCCTCACAAGTGTACCTATCTCTAAAGTACATGCTGAAACTAAGAAACTGTAGAAGTCAACTCGTTTGCCCCACAGAAGAAGTATCGCTTTGTAGACATGTAACAGCAGTTAGATTGCAGGTTTAAACAACCGAAACCAAATCAGTCTTGACAGTACTTAAAACCTGTCCATGCCATGAAAGAAAATTACTATTTTGGTGACTGAATGACATGAGAGTGACTATCCAGGAGCACTTCCACTTTACAGCAAGAGCTGTTAGGTGCACAAAGGTACCCTCATGTTAATTAAGAGCAACTCGTAATACAGAGGTAACTGGAAGAATTACCCTGCACCACTTCTGCATACCCAAACCCTGTCTCCTTCTCTGGAAAGAGATGCAACTCACTGAAAGACAATCTGCAATACTGTGCTATGCATTACTTTGTGCAGTTACAGAATAAGCTAAGCTGTATCCTAAGTCACAGCTCCAGATACTTAATTGCATGGCTGAGGAAGAACTAACTGGAAATTTAAAAGCAAAAAGCTGATGAATGAAAGCAGTCCTGAAACAGCAGAGGTCAAGTATTTTAGCAAAACAATGGAGAACTACTGCAAAAGCTTTACAGTTTTTATAGGGGAAGGGGCCAGTGCAACAACTTGCCTTTTAAAACCTTTGTATGAGAAAAGCCTTTTAAGGTTCATTTTCTAAAATGGATATGTGTAACTTGTCTTTATATCACACACAATATATTCCAAGTTTCTATATTAGATGTCCTTTCTAATCCTAGACTTAGACTTAAGGTACTGATTTAATACTCATATCATAGTAAATGCTCTTCATCTCAGTTAATGCCACACAGCCTCAAGCAAAACAAACACAACTATTGTAACATAAACCTGAATTCAAAGCTGAAAACTCACTTCTTCACACAATTCGATCTATGAAGAGAGTAACAGTATCTTTTTAAACATTGTAAACGTAAGTTACCTGCACAGTTTCAATCAGGCTCGCAGAATAAAAGGGCATTGCCACCACATGTGTTAAACTGTAGAAATTAACAATTAAGAATTAAGAGCATGACAATACTATAACGTTAGTCAAATATGCACCTGAAAGTTGATAAAGTTACCTTCTAAGTCATTTCTGAGAGAAAATTAACAAACCATAACTCAATTATTAAAAGCATGTTAACAAGCTGAGAGAAACATCAGTCTGAAGTTCCGTTATATTTTATTTCCATGTGACCAGACTCATTCAGGTCCCTCGGCTATCATAATTTTGTTACTAAAAGAATTTAATCTTTGAAATTAATCTGGTTCCACATAGACACACAGAGAAAGTAATCTGTGGAAGTGATGTATGCAATAGATTGTTCAAAAAAATTAGGTTTTGAGAATTACTGTTAGCACCCTGTCAAGTAACCATAGCTGCAGAATAAACTAATATACATTTAGTAATTTTATTGATGTTTAGATAGTAAGGCATCAGTAATATGTGTTATACTTACCCTTTGAGCAGAAGGTGTCCACCTATCTGCTTGAGGTTCCATTTATGCGAAAGCTCCCTAAAAGAAAAAAGTATTTACCCTACTATAGATAAGTACAAGTTATTCTCAAGTATATCTTCCATGGGTCTGAACATCCAGATTTTATAGGGGTGTTCTACTACTGCTTCACACTGCAGGATTTCCCATAGTGGAAAGACAGCACTAGTGACACATTTAATGAATTACACTTAGGTTTCACAAGTGATTTGTGCACCCTAAGTTTTTATCAAAAAAGTTTTCAGTTATTAATAAGGTGTCCGTAGCTCTTACAGCTACTGGCTGTATAGTGTTTCGTATTTATTTTACATCCTTATGTACTAACGCTTAAAGCTATTTTTAGGGAATTATTTTAAAAAAATCTCAATAGTTTTCCTTTATAAACATACTTTTTAATTACATTTCGTTTTTTCTTTTCTTTTCTTTGACCTTATGTTTACCCAGTTGCTGTTTCTCTCCTGAAAATCTATACCATGTTCTGACAAAGTTACATGAGACCAAATCACGTACAATTGTGTGGTAGTTCTGCACAGATCTAACCCAAGTCTTTTGGCTTATGACCAGTCTTCAGCATATCTTGGTAATACAAAACAAACAAAAAAATCAAAACCCATGTGCTTAACATAAAGGTGACTTAAAAAAATCACCTTAAAGTAGTACTTTCTAATTACACACTTCAAAATACAAAGTGTAAACATTAGGTTCACTCGACAGAAAATGTAAGATAACATTCAAATACCAAATTTATTTATCATACATTTGGTAAACACTTTAGCTATGCAGTAAAGGTAGTTATCTGACATATTGGTTACACTAGACTCTGCATTTTTAATAACAAGCTATAAAATGCTCATTTTCAATTCTTGCCCTGGAATTGCCCTCAGCCACTGCCAAGTTGCAACTTAGTCCAAGCAAGAAACTCCTTCCTCTTTCTGAGTTGTTTTTTTAGTAGCTATCCCTTTCCTAAACGTCTAAGTCAGTCACTAAAGAGGGAGGGAAGAACATTTACCATTATGTATTTCAGACACTTGAATCACATCCATTGAGCCATAACACTTCAGACATGTGGAAAATGAAACCAGTCAAACTGATGTGTGAAAGTCTAACCTGTCAATCCACTAGGTATAACTACTCCTCCAGTGGAAGGAATTATGGAATAGTTTGTCTAGTACAGAACCATATTCAACTTGCTATAAAAATGTTAACACCCATTTCTGGGGCCCTCCTCTAAAACAAGGGGGTTCTTCTTTGTTATTACAATATAGAATTGGAATTGACATCTCACTTCCTTGTGTCCTTTGGAGCTTGATAATGTAATTAAATAACCTTTTAAATCAGATTTGCAAGCAATAACATCTCCCTCCTTGTGACAGCCCAAAGATGCACACTACCACTATAAAGTAAGAACATCCAGTGGAAAACTCCATGGAGCAAGAAACATTCATTTTAGCCAGATCACCTCCCAGCAATTTCATGACTGTTCACATACTATGTTGGCACAAGGATGGTGGTAGCCTTAGGAAGGAATGAGGAGGTGGTGGCTGAAAGGCCTCCTATCGGCAGCAGCACCAGCTTACTTTTCAAACTACTGAGTAACTGGTCCACAAGAAGAAAATCCTTGCTCACACTGGACAGAAATCTGAACTATGGAAATACAAACACTAAATCACGTATCATGAACTTAAGCAACTCCTACAGTAGTATTTAAAAACAAGTCACACTGAGGAAAAACCATATGCCTGGGCATTTCAGTTATGTATGAGACAGAGTTGACCAAAAAAACTCAGTGCACACTCCACACAATTTAAGCATGAAATGCTTTTGCTAATGCTTTTGACAATTGCCAGAACCTGCAGACTTACTTTTATTAGTATGCATACATGCATCATAATTGTAGTTTGATATAGCCTACCTACACTTCTTATTTTTAAAACCAGGTCAGGTTCTACATCCCTGAAGTACTTGGGTCTCCACCAACACATTAAAACTAGGCACTTGTTTCTTCTGAAAGCTAACACAATTCTCACACCCACTGGTCCATTCACAATCAGTCACCCTGAAAACCAACTACTTGCCTGTCTCCCTAATGCATTTCCCCAAGACATGTCTTCATTGTTTTACTGGCCTCAATATTTGCCTTGCAACTGTTAAGTATCTTTTCCTAAATTTTGATTATCTCACAGTCTCCTTGAATTTCACTCTCTTACACAACATGCTTACTCTTAAAATACCCGTAACAAAACTGACAATACACATTATTACAGTTGTCAGCCCTTACTATTAACTCTGGGCCATTAAAATATGAAACGTTGGTGAAAAGTCTTCAGACAAAAATTCTTTATCAGACTTGTATCTCAAAGCAGAATGACATCAAAATGTTTTATCACAATCCTGGAGTTACAGCTCAGCATAATAAGTACTCAGAGTCACAAATCAAAACGCAATAATATTACTAAACTACTATAGCTGAAGGCAGGCACAGTCAAGTAGAATGTTGAGTATCTCACTCATTTTTTGCTGCAGGCCCTTTATTATGAAAATACTAAACAACGAACAGATAGTTGTTGGTAAAGGAGGACAGAAGACAAATCTGACAGCCACACAGACTCTTATTTACCATGTCTTCTCACTTATTAATGCAGGCCATTCTGTTCTCTCACCTACCAAAGACAGTGAAAATTGCAGGATGTGAGTGTTGGCTCATTAGCCATTTAAGTTTTCCGTATTTAGATTAATGAAACTAGGATTTTTTACTTTAGACATGGTATTTGCTAATACCACACAATACAAACCAAAATAAAAAAAAATCTTGATTTTTTTTATCACAGTGGAATTACCCTGACTAGACAACCACACACACCGCTGAAGACTGTTCTAATCAAGTTTAACTTTTCAAACAGGCTTACACTTAATAACACTTTGAATACAAGTCAACAACTGACAATCAGTTTGTTAGAACTAGCAAAAAAATCATTAAATACCTTGGCAAAGGTGTAAATTCACTGATGATTCCTTCTGTTCCCAAGGTTATGCCCTGAACAATGAAAGTGCTGCCCATTCCTTTCCAGAGAGCTCTTGGACCCTGTGTTTTGAAATATCCAACATGCAACATAAAACTCAAAAATCTTTTAATCTCACTAAATTTTATAAAATTTCAGGAAATTCAGATTGCATAGGGCTACAGTTCTACCATTAAAATTCTCTATGACCAAATTTAGGGGAAAACTAACACTTCAACTCTGAAGAAACTTTTCTTCTTCAATAATTTAAACAACAATTATCAACAATTTTGGAAGCATATCTCTCACTGTTAATAACTGGTACTATAATCTTAACACCATTTTCTGTGGACAAAATGAGCTTGAAACGTTAAAGCACATTTCAAAGAAATGCAGAAAGTATTTCCTTACTGTCTTCTGATCTGAGTTTCGGGATTTCTAGTCCCATGCAGAACTGGAAATTAATGCAATACTATCTTTGGAAGTAGTCATTTGGATAATCTCTTTATCTACATAAAAGATCGATTATGTTTTAGAATTCTAACAAAAAAAATAGTTTCAGGGACCTTTTGTTTTCCAACATCTGCAAATCTTCCCCAGTATATACTATACTTCCTAAAAAATTAATTTATTATGATCTTCTTGAAACACTTCTGCAACGATAAAAATAAACAAACCCTTCAATAGCCATGTTTTTAACCATCAGTTACATAAAGAGTTAAAGGTATCAATGTAAATATGCGCTATAGTAACCTTCACTGCTCAGATACAGCCTTACGCCAAATACTGACCTGTGTCTTATTGATGCTGTACATAATATTGACAATAGTAAATGGAGTGAGGTGATAATTCCGAGCATGATAGTTAACCTGTTAAATATAAATAATGTCAGTTTTATAAACACACTTGCAGACGTTACAACTCTAAAGGAAAAAGCACTTCCAAAATAAGGACACTACCTCTGTAAAGGTCAGCTAAAGTGATCAAAATATGAATAAACTTTCACCGAAATTTAGGGGAACAGGTAGAACTTTTAAGTACTTGTATTCTGAAAATGTAAACAATAAAGCAAACATAAACCAGAAAACACTGGAAACAAAGCATCCTGCTTGTAAACGAGGGTCTGGAAGTTGCCCTGCAGACTCCAAAACACTTAATTGCTCTTATTTATTTTCCAGTCTCCAAACAAAAATGACTAAGAATGTTCATGATAAGTTAAATTTCATATTGGAAAAACACGTATGTTACAAACAAAAACATGTTCATGTAGAAGCATCTCCCTAAGAAATGTAAAGCATCCTTATACTCTACAGAATACAAAACCACAGAAATACCACACTACACAGGAGCTCTGACTGGAAGGGGTAATACAAAAGACATACCTGGCACTGACGACGTAGAACAATGCAAGGATGTGCCAACACATTTTCTGTAAATAGGCTTTAAAAGAAAAGTTTATTTAGAGCATGGGAAGCCATTTTAAATTTACTAGGAAAGTCTTGTTATTTTTCGCTAACAACATTAGATTAGTATTTGGAAAAAAAATACATTATCTAGTGAATTAATGAGGTGTTTTGGATGGTGCCTGATAGCCTGCCACAATCATAAAGGAACAATTATCAAAAGTCTAATGCATACATTCACTATGAGAAAGTCCACATACACATATACATATCTCTCTCTCTCTAAAATGTATATATATTTTTATAGGCAATACAATGTACCAAATTTCCTAAACTTTTCCTCCACAAAATGTGCAGGAACAAAACAGTCAAGAGCAAATTATGAAAGAATTAGTTTTCATTTTATGTTAATTCTGCATACCACATTATTAATCAAGACTTTCCTTAGCAGGGCCAGAGGATTGATACTAACAGCTATCATTTTTTTCACGACAAAATGCTTCTGCCCAAACTCAACCTTCCCTCCATTCCCAGAAATGCTATTTCAATCAAAACTTCATAGGAAAGTTCAGTCCTAAAGTAGGATCCCTGGTCACAGCCAAGCAGATAAGCTTTTCATTTCATCCCAAAGTACCTGCGTGATCAGAGTACTTACCTGCATGTGGTTCAAACCTGTGACATGTATTAGAAAAGCAAAACCTCCAGGCTATGTCTAAGCATCCCAAGTAACAGCTCTGACCACCAACTTACAGGATCAGGGGGGGCAGGTCTCTTACAGGGATTTTATCCTGGATAAGCAAGTACTAATTCGCACAGAAAAGTGCTGAGCTTGTAGGTTTTTAACAATTATGCTAATTAGTAGTTTGCTGCTATCAGAAGAGGTGAAACTATATCCCCTGCACTCCAGCTGCTACTTATTAAGTCCTGCCCTGTACCCAGCTCAACTAAGATCACAAAACCTAACCTTTTCTTCCATGTGTTTTCTGCAAGATTTCTGCCTTGAACCACATATGCCTGACAAGTGATCCTGTACAAAACCAAAAGCAGAAGCAGGGATTGCTTCTCTCAGCAACGATATAATGTTCATCAGCTCTCTTTCCCAAAACAACATGCTCATTTTAGTCCCACTGGCCACAGCGCTCAGGATATGGAAAACTTTGTCACGCTTCATTAAATCAGAGCACACTGCGCAAAAGGACAACTCGGATGCGCCAATATATTTTTGCTCCTGAAGGGCGTCAACGTGTTTCTGCCCTAAATTTCCTCTGCTTTGCTGGTACTTTCCTGAGCTCCTTCAGTTTGGTAAGGTTGGAAAGAAAGATGTTTGGTGGAGGTATTCTTCCCCTTCACCTCCACCAACCTTAACAAACAGGCTCATCAAGCAGTCTGAATGAGCAAGCTGAGCCACTGCAAGGGAAGCAGTGGGAGAAGAGGGACTGGCAGTTTCACAAGCTGGAAGAATCTAATCTGAGCAATTCATTGCTTGCCAAAAATGGTCTTTCCTAGTTTTTCTTTATCCTTGCCTTCTATGGTACAGTTAGCTGGTGTCTACTGGCTAATTTACTGGTGAATCTACTTAGTAGATTCCTAAGTAAATGAACCTAACTGCAACAGAAAAAAAATAACCCAGCTCTTCCACTAACTTTGTCTTCAGTTTTACTAAGTCAAGCTGATTAAAAAGAGGTTCTGATGCACATCAAGTGTGGTAACAATGGGGCAAGGAGCAGAACAGGCTGGTCATCAAGTAAAAGGTTTGCATCTAAGTACACAATAAAAGCCTCAACTGACATAGCTTCCATGTTGGCCTAACTGGGTAAGTCACACAATCACTTTTCTCTGCAAAGTCTTACATTTAGGTCAACTCAGAGTAAAAGTTTCTTTTTCAAGACAAAACAATCCACCTCCTACCCCTTCCCAAGCTGCATCAGTACACTGACAAAGAAAAACCTAGTCAGGTGAGTATGACTGGGTAGGCACCCTGAAAACAAAAAATCCTAAATTTATTACGATCCTTACACTTGACAATTTAAGCTCTGAAAACATCAGGCACATTCTCAGAAATACTATCAATAATAAGTGTTACCATAAAAATGGATAAAAAGGTTATCAGACCACTTGGCCAGATCATTAGTATTCCAGGATACTTTGATAATATACTTCAAGACATTTCACCTTCTTAGGAAAGACTGGCATTAACATTTATTAATTTATTATTGGTTTATATTTTGTAAAATAATATAGTAACACTGTCTTATTAATGTTTATTATTATTAATAATAGTGGCAAATATGTAGACGGTTTTTTGGTTTTATTTTCAGATTGCTCTAATAGGTTACACATACTCTGGGTGTACTGTATGAAAACATTATTCTTACATTCACTGCTGATTAATTTTGAGAAACACTTCAGGTAAAGAGTACAGAAACCTATATGAATTTCAGGTAGTTTTAAAGGCAGTTACTGCCAAGTCTACTGGCATAAAAACAACAAAAAAGTGTACATAACGACACTGGACAACTATAGCTTTACTACTCCATTATTATTGAAAATTATTACACAACTCTTACCTTGCAAGGCCAATACCAAAGCCTGCAAATCTGTTCAGTTGGTCTGAAAAAAAAATCAAAATAGGTTTTACAGCAGTGGTATCAGTGAGATAAAATGCCATGCAAATTATCTGAAAACTAATTTTAATCTGTACTTGCTTCAGAAAATACCAACCACTAAGCCACAACATTCATGGCAACTCAGCAAAAGACGATATAAAGAACTATTCTCCTAGGAATATTTGCACGTTGGACTGCACTTGAGTTTGTAGATACTTCTATAAATTAAATTATTCTTATCTTAAAACAGCTACAGGACATTAAAAAAAAAGAGGGACAAATTGAACAGTAAAACAGAGATTAATATCTAGAAAACCTAATTCAAAGCAACTACTGAAAAAGTTAGCATACACAACATCTCACAATAATTCTGAAACATAAATTCAGATATGAGTGAAATTACTTTTGAAGACAAAAACAATAAAAAGAGAGAAACCTTGGGAAAAGTAATACAAAACACCACCGGTGATAAAACAAAAATCAACATTATGTGAATTAAGTTAGTTGTTTATCTCTTCTCCTTTGCAAAAATCTAGTTACTAGAGTACAGTTAAAATTGGAACAGGAGTAATGTCAGTAAGCTTCAGCGTAGCTCCACACAGATGTGGCAGCCCTCGTTAGAGGAATGACTCCATTCACTTGCAGAAGCTGGACTCGGTGATACAGCAACTCCTTATCAGTCCTCCAAAATGCAGAATCAACACACCCTCCATAAGCAGACAGGACAAAAAGAAGCTGGAGTCCACAAACCTAAGAATATTTAAGCATTGCTTTAAGTAGTGCTTGTGTGGATAAAATCCTGCTAAGGGCTGTACTCGTAACTAAGACCTGAACAAAACCACTGGACTAAAGGTTAAGAAAAAGGGTGACTCGCTCATCAGTAAAATTCTAAATTAATCAGTCTTTCTTAAAACTTTGACACTCAAGTGTATATAAACTGCTCCAGAATATCCTTTCAACCAAAGCGCTCAGTGTTCAGCAGCCTGTATCTGGCAAGTTTATCTTAATTCACCTTAATTTCACACAGAGGTAAGATGATAAGGAGCTATTTCTGAGCATTTCTGTTCAGTTTTCCAACAATTCCTGGAAAAGTCTTGATAACATCTGCTTGTTCACTTCTGCCAGTTCCGGGCTTCCTTCACTATCACACCTGGGGAGGGTTTTTAACTTGAGCAGCTCACGCTGCAGCCCTTGTACTTTCTCAACGTAAAAATAAAGCAGCCAGAAGGCACAAGGTCTGAAACATCAACACTTACTAAACAACAAGGCGTAGTGTAAGAACCAAAGGTACCTCCTGCCCTTACAGGACCATTTCTGCAGGACCCCGCGGACACGGGCAGCTCACCACACGCTGCCTTTTTTTTTGGCCCCGCCGAGGCTGCGCTCGGACCCGGCCCGTCACAGCAGCCTGTCAGCCACCTGCTGCTACGCACCGCTGACCCTAACACAGCCAGGCGGCTCCCGGAGCGCAACGCGCGGTGGAGCGGGATCTCTTTCTCATAAAGGACTTTGTTTTTTTTTCCTTTCCTCTCCCCCT